GTAATCGAGTGCTATAACAAATATAACTCTGCTTCATCAAAAATCCCACCAAAGAATGTGATATTTGAAAATCCCTGGCATTCCTTGAAATTCACATCTACCCTGTGACCCAAAAGTAATCGTGGCAGTTACGGTGTGGTTAACGTGTCTTGCTTACACACTATACGGCTATGGTTTGACTTCCACTGGAGGTGTTGATAAGACCTAGGCTAGGTCAAAACTTCCATCCACCCTGGGTGAGAATACCTTTTGGGAGAGCATTTCTACGTGAAATTAACTGGAAAGGTTAGCCCTATTCATATAATCGTGGGAAAATTCAACTACTAATTCTTCATCACCTTAAATGAACTAGGATGAATACGTCTCATATAACTGATTTACTGGTGGTCTCGAAACTTTGCTTATAATTAAATCCTGATATCTCATCAAAAATGACGAAATAAATTAGTAGGTTTTCTGCTGATCATCTATTCTCTTGGTTTAGTACATAGGTGCGCCTTTTCGTAAAGTATGGCGTCCTGCTCTGACGGTGTCCGTCACATGACGGACGAAAACTCAACAAGGATTCATCGGGGTTGCGGGGCGATGCGCCGAGGACCTATACGCACAAATCTACAACCACAACTCCAATGTAACCCACCCCACAGCCTCCGGTGGAACCAACTTACGAATCCCTTCCACTCGCCTCTTCAAACAAAATGAAAGATACTCCAACATCAATGTATTAAGGAATTCTTCAAAAACCAGTTTTACTACATACAACTCATAAAAACCTAATTGTTTGAATTATTCGCGATAGAAAAGAAATTATTAGCATAAATCAGCTAAATATAATGGGAAGTCTAAATTTTTCTATGAATAGCTTGCAGGTAGCACAAGCTATTTGAATCCTAGGCGAAAAGCCCACATAAATAAATTAGGGATCAAAACACCAAATAGGATAAAGGTCGAAGTGACAAGACTTGCAACACATCGATATGGATTGGTAACATACTAGTTGATGGTTCCAATTGCATTCTAGCGGTTTCCGGGGGTGTAGAGAAGCGCCGTTGCAGCCGAATCTCCTCCATGACAGCTGCCTCTGTCTTGTCTACGCGACGAGAGTAAGCAGACAATGCGGCCTGGTATATGGCACCGGATACAGAAGAAGCAGAAAGGTCCCCATAGTTTTCAGGCACCCTAATAACGCACAGATGTGTTAGGCCACGCGCAGCAGCTTGAAGGATGCGCCTCTCTAGAGCTAGCTTTTTGGCCTTAGCCGCATTCAGTTCAGCTAACTTGATTAAGTGCTCACTAAAATGCATAAATAAATTAGAGAACACATATACGCGACTTTGAATAACTCAAGTAGTCCATCACTATACCCTGGAGGATTTGATTAATAATTTTAGGAAAATAAATCGCAAGGAGACCAGAAAAGAACAATCAAAAGCCAAGAGGAGACGTCTTCAGTGAGCCTAATCAAAACAAGTAGAACCACAACATCTGTCGATTGGCACACAAGAGACTAGGACATTGGAAGTTATAGACTTGGTATAATGGATAGAAACAAGATAGATGCGGCGAAAACTAGAGCTATTTGGATAACAAGAGACGTGTTTGATCATAGACGTGATCCATGAAGCACACCTATTGTTAGCCAACTAGTTCTAGCCTCCACTGCATCTATCCTGTTTCTATCCATAATACAAAGTCTATGACTTACTATACCCTAGTCTCCTGTGTGCCAGCCAACCCACTAATGTTGTGGTACTGCTTGCTTTGATTGGGTTCAA